TGGGTTATTTAGACCAAAATACTCAATTTTGTTCAACAGGGGCCTGATATCCACTTACGAGGACATTATACTGCTACTGTTCGATCTAAATGTTACACGAATATGTGGCTCTCATTTTTCTTAGAAACAAAAATCAGGTAAAAAAATAAATAAAAATATGGTAATTCTTTGTTTTTAAATTAATCGGGTCCCAATCAGCCCAAATATCAAAGAGAAATTAAAATTGCATGCCATGAAAGAGTTTGGGTCTTAGGAGGTTAAAGTTGTGTTCTCGTTGTTTTTAATATTACAGTTATATATTATTATTAAATTGTTTTCAGATAACAGATACATAAATGTGACACAACTTATAACTTATAACTTATAATTGGGTCTGAAACCTGACATATTTTGCTTGTTGGCAGAAATAAAGTGATCACTAAGGTTTGAGGTGAAAACTCAAAGTGATCACACACTTTGAGTTTCACACATGACACAAATTCTGCTTAAATAATTTTTTACTTTTTTACTGCATCATTATGCACTGATAACAAAGTGATATCTTATCATCTCAGACATGATAAATGTGTTGATGGTCCGCCAAAAATGATTTCCAGTATTTAAACTGTTGATAATGAATGGCTGGTATTTAATCTGTCAAACACCTCTGAAACATGTCTCAAAGCATTTTTGTTGTTTATAGTTTCTTTAGTGTCCTTTTCTCTGCCACTGTCACCAGAGTGTCCAGCTTCATGCCGACCACAGAGCCAGCCTTCCTGATCAGTTTTTCCAGCCTGGATGAGTCCTTCTTTACTGTGCTGCTCCCCCAGCACACCACAGCATAGAACAGTACTCCAGCAACCACCGACTGGTAAAACATCATCAGGAGCTTCCTGCAGATGTTAAAAGACCTCAGCCTCCTGAGGAAGTACAGTCGGCTTTGGCCTTTTTTATACAGGTGCTCTGTGTTGCATGACAAATGGTTGAATACACTCAAATCACTTTTTCCTTTAAGTCGTTGTCAGTGTCTCATTTTGCGTGGAGGTTTTTCTTCTCACCACTGCCACTCTCCTTATGATCCTAACTGAACCCAACAAGAGCAGATTCCAGATGTTAATTTTTATTTGACTTTAGATGACAGATTACTGTGTATCTGATCAAAGATTTAAACTCTAGGTGATTTCAGTGATAATATTGTTTTTTAGCATTTGTAGTACTAACTGTACTCTTAAACCTAAATACAAGGACAATACAAGTTCTTATAGATGGACGACTGATAAGGCAGGTTTAAGAGTGCAGTCAGAAATGAACATGACTGCCATGTGTTTAGTTTTTCTCTCTTTTAGTTTACAGTTAAAAGGAAGCCTGACCATTTTAATGTCACCTCACAGATTATCACCATCATGATTACAGCAACTGTTAGCATGTTCGTTTATCCACCTTGAGAACTCACAGCCGAAACATTTCTTTGTTTGATACATTTATTTGTAAGACATTGAATCAGGGGTGTAATTGCAGCCATTCCCCAACTCTCTGTCAATGGTACTCATGGCCAATGATCAGTGGGATTTGATCAATGGTTGCTGATCAATGGTCGTGAGAATTTGCATAATCATGATGAAGGAACTGACCTCCCAGCCCATTGTTCCTTCAGTGGTGCTAGTTTCAGACATTATGCAAATGTACTGTTTATACGATTGGGGAAACCTGCAGTCAGCTGAGACTGAAGAAGTTACTTGGATGAATGATGAAACGTTTCTCCCACAAAACGCTACATCCAGATGAACACAACCAACTTTTGGGGATTTACTTACCTGGATGATTGAGCATGCATCAAGAGGTTTTAACCCACTTTGGCAAGGACTGCCTAAAGCTAAATTTAAAAGCAGAAAATTAGAGGCCATCCAGGTCTTTATGTTTTTAAGACATTCCTGCAGTTTAAATAATTGGTGTGTGTTATCTGGCTTCATGGTTAGATAAAGTTGGGTGTCTATATAAGTATAAGTATTTATCAGCTTCTCTGTGTAATGGTGCTGCAGGTGCAGGTGGTCTGTCAGCTACTGCTGGTGCTGCTGTGGGATGGTTGGCAGGTTTCATCAGCTGAAAATCATGAGGAATCCATATATTTGCTTTATGCCAAAACTGGAAG